AGACGCCAATGACAGACCCAACTATTAGAAGAACCCTTCGCTCAGACGCTCTCGGGAAAAAGGAAAAAACAAAAGCAAACAAACCAAAAGAAAAAGCAAAAGCAAGAAACAAAAGGAAAAGGAAAACGAAAAGCACAAGGAAAAGGAAAAGGAAAAGCAAGAGAAAAAAGGAAAAGGAGAAGCAGAAGCAAAAATAAAGAGGAACAGGAAAAGCAAAAGCAACAGTGAAAAGAGAATGAACAAGGAAAACGAAAAATCGAAAGCACCCGCAAAAACAGCAGCAGGCAAAAGCAAGAGCAAACAGAAACAGGAAAAACAAAAGCAAAAGCAAGAAACAAAAAGAAAAGAACAAGTAACAGCAAAACAAAAAGGAGAAGCAAAGGCAAGAGACAAAAGGAAAAGCAAACGCAAAAGCAGAAAAAAAAACATGCAATAGACAAAAGGAAAAGGCAACGCAAAAAGAAAAGGAATAGCAAAACCAAAAGAAAAAAGGAAAAAGAAGAGCGCAAGCAAGAAGCAAAAGGAAAAGGAAAAGCAAAAGCAAAAAATAGAAGGAGATGGGAAGGCAACAGCGTGAGACACAAGGAAAAGGAAAAGGACAAGCAAAAATTTGAAGGAACAGGAAAAGCTAAAGTAGAACCAAAAGGACATTGAAAGGCAAAAGCAACAGAAAGACAAAAGGAAAAGGAAAAGCAAATGGAAAAGGCAAAGCAAAAGCAAAAAAGAAAAAGGGAGAAGCAAAAGCAAAAGCAACAGACAAAAGCAAACGGACAAGCAAAAGCGAAAGCAAGAGACAAAAGGAAAAGCAAAAGCAAAAGGAACAGGAAAAGCAAAGGAAGAGAAAAAGGAAAGCCAAAAACAAAACTAAAAACCAAAAGGAAAAGCAAAAAGAAAAAGCAAGAGCAAAGCAAGAGCTTTTAAAGGAGCTCCCTGCTTAACTAGAGGAACACCTTTTCCAGATTTTACATCCACTTAAAGATTTGAAATATGACCATTAAAACCCTCTCAATAGAGTGTTTTAAAAACCTTGAATTAAGGGGGAAACCTTTTAATTAAGGCGTCTAAATCTAGCGTGTTTTAAATTAAAGGTCTTTGGGCTTACTGGGAAATATCATTTCACGACGCGTTCGCGAAACCGACACGCGCGATGTCCGCAGAGGGTTCATCCAGACACTCTTGGAGTCAACTTTTACCTCACATTCGCGCGTCCGACACGCACCATCCACGCAGAGGGTTCACTTTTCACTTCTCCGTCCGATCCTACCCCGCCGCTTAAGAGATAATAGAAATGCCGAAGTGAAACCGAGGCGTTTGAGTCAGAAGATAAGGTAGGAGATTAGACAGGAGATTAGACAGGAGATTTAGACAGGAGATTTAGACAGGAGATTTAAACGTGAGATTAGACAGGAGACTATATAGGAGATTAGAGAGGGGATGAGACAGGAGATTTAGACAGGAGGTTTAGACAGGAGACTAGACAGGAGATAAGACAGGAGATTTAGACAGGAGATTTAGACGGGAGATTTAGACAGGAGATTAGAAAGGACATCAGACAGTGATTAGACAGGAGATTGGACAGGAGATTAGACAGGAGATGAGACAGGAGACCAGACAGGAGATTAGACAGGAGATTTAGACAGGAGATTTAGACAGGAGATTTAGACAGGAGATTTAGACAGGAGATTTAGACAGGAGATTAGACAGGAGATTCGGCAGGACATCAGACAGGAGATTCGACAGGAGATTGGACAGGAGATCTAGACAGGAGATTAGACGGGAGATGTAGACAGGAGACCAGACAGGAGATTCCACAGGAGATTGGACAGGAGATTTAGACAGGAGATTCGACAGGACATCAGACAGGAGATTAGACAGGAGGTTTAGACAGGAGATTAGACAGGAGATGGGACAAGAGATTAGACAGGAGATTAGACAGGAGATTTAGACAGGAGATTTAGACAGGAGATTAGACCGGAGATTTAGACAGGAGATTAGACAGGAGATTTAGACAGGACATCAGACAGGAGATTTGACAGGAGATTAGACAGGAGATTAGACAGGAGGTTTAGACAGGAGAACTTGGCAGCAGTTCTTTGGGAAGAGCCCTTCGCAGGAGCTTTCGGGAAAAAAGTACCTGTGAACCATGTGAAGGAAGAAATTATATGCAAGTCAAAAAAGGAAATACAAGCGCCTTCGACTCACGTGTGTTTGCAATTTCTTTTTTGCACCAGGCATCACGGCGTGAATCTTGTGCTTGCTGCTCCTGCAGCTTGCTCAGCATGATCACCGCCTGCTCCAAGTGCAAAAGTGTTACAAAATCCACGGCAAATGCGCGTCTCAGCGCTATCCGCACCAAGAACTGTCATGGCTGAAGGCGCCCTCACAAAAAGCAGCAAAATGTCAGGCACCTTGAAATTCTGGAACACATCTCTCCTCCGGCGAACTTTATCAGTATGCTGATACGCTGTCTAGTCATATCTACTTCTATAGTCTATCTTGTTTTATGATTATATGATGATATTTGCTTTTTATGTGTACAGTATGTGTATATATATTTTTGTATAAATTAATTTGTTTTCAGTTTACATTGCAGGAAAGCTCACTAGTTACTAGTGACTTTCAATACTTGATCAGAGCGAGCCTTCCAGAGGACTGCGTCTCCAGAAGTAGCGCAGCCAATCAAGGGCTAGCGGCTTTGCTCATCAGTCTAGCCTGTGAAGTTGAAACCGAGGATGCTGGTCATGCCTCTTCGAAACCTTGACAAACGAAAAAAGCTTGCACAGAGGCACGCGAAGGAACAACAGGATGCAGGAGTTTTGAGTTCTGTGCGACTTTTCGAAAATGGTGAGGCCCGGAACGGCGGCCAGCAGTTTCAACACTCTCTCCTGCGACCGATGGTGTGAAACACGGAAAGAAGGCTGACTGTTTCACTTTACTTAAACGAATTACTGATTCAAAAATGTAAGTTCATCGTGTCTGTCAGGTCTACTACCTGGAAAGGTATTCCCATGTTGGGCTCATGCCACCGTGCCGGATTCCGACACGAGTAACACACTTGCTCGGAAAGGTCATTGCGAATTGCGTAGTGAAAAAGCATCCGACGTGCAAAACATCATTATTCACATGAAAAATGAATATAGATATGTTTATATATTTAAAATCACACGAGACATTGACAATATAAAACAACAGCGATAAAGTATATGTCCCCCCCAGCTGCGACTTAAATGCGCCCAGGGGCGGGACGATAAATATATATATAATCAGGTACGTTTGCACGGGTACCCGGGGGGTGTCTTCGTTGGCCACCGACCCCCCGGGACCCGGGTGGCCCCCTGCAAGATGATATATAAAAAGGTAGAAGTTTTACATCTCTTCAGATGGTACACACACACACACTTGCTCGGGAAGGTCATTGCGAATTGTGTAGTGAGAGTGCATTGTACGTGCAAAAACAATCCAGTTAAACCTGACATGAATGGACGAGGCCACGAGAAGTGGAACATGGCATAATAGGAATCAGATTGCGAAAACCGTACAGCTCAAATCAGATCGTATAAACTCACGTGATCTCATCAAAGTAAGTTTCGACTTGCCGGTTCTTAGCTTAGCCGGTTGCTATTGCCGAAAAAAACTGAAAACTGATGGTTCCAGTGGAAAAACGAAGTTAAAAAACATAGCAGGTACGTCGATGAGCGTCCCCATCGATATCACAGGCAACTGATGAGTGTCTTTGTTAGCGCCGGTCTCATCAGTGCCTCCGGCACCCCCTGCTGAAAATCAGTGTGCTCGAAATACCCCCTGTTGAGAATCAGTGTATTCGAAATACACGGGAAACCCCAATAAGGCAAAAGGAAACCACAGTAAATCACAACAGAGAAAGCAAGGTAGAAGTTTTACATCTCTTCAGATGTTACACACACACACCCTGCCGCAGCAGGGCTTTTTTGGAAGATCAAGCCAGCGGGCATCAACTGCACAAAGTGAAAAAGATGCAAAAGGGCTTGACATATGATGTGGGTTCACTAAGAATGGCCCACCAAAGATTGTTCTCAAAGATCAGGATCAGGGGTATTGCGACGAACAATCTCATGGCCGATGATTGTGTGCGAGAAACCAGTTCCCCAAGCTCAGCAACATTCATGGGATTCCCTTGGCTGAGACGCTCAAGGAGGGCAACCTGATCATGGTCATGTCGAAGAACTTCGTGAAGCAAAGTCGCCAACACAAAGACATGCCGGGAGGCTGTTCCTGAATGTGGCCAACATGGAGAATCGGAGTAGGACCTGGGGTGGATGAATCCGAAGGGCTAGGTGGCAATGCCGGCATAGCTTCTGACGGAGGATCCGTGGTGTCGTCGGCATAGCCAGAGGCTAGGTTCTTTGGTGGGATGTACCAATACCATCGCCAATAATTGGCCATCTTCTGACTTTCCTGCCACGCATCATAGCCAGCGAGACGGACGTGGTTCAGTGTGCCATAGAAGTGAAACTCAGCGGACTTCTGAAATTCGTGGCCTTGCTCGTTGATCTCTGTGACAAGAGCTCCGGGTCAGCGTAATCGGTGTGGCCTAAAGTAAGGCCTTCCCGAATCTTGAAGACCACCTGATGCACCGTGCGATACCTATACCAAGTGGTATAGGTAATAGGTCATATATTGGAGACACACCTGGTAGAGTCAAATCTGAGGATACAGGCATGGGATCAGCATGTGTAGGAACCACTCCCGTGTAGGATCCTGCAAGGTTGGCACCCATGGAATCGTCGGCCATGCGAGCTCGGTGTGAGGACCGAGGGGAGTCAAGTTCAGCAACTCCCGAAACACGTTTCATTATTCGTCCCTTGATAGAAGCATAAGGAAAGGACAAGAATGGTTGTGAAGTTTGACCAACCTTCCACAAGAATGTCATGAAATCACACAACCAAACAAAGGTGATGTAGCATGGACCCTAAACCCGAGTAAAACAAGCACAGTTGCAAAGGACATTTTTCCGCAGTGGTTTATGACTGCTCATGGTCGGGGAGCGCAAGGATTCGAGTCTTCTTCTGGCACTTGAGGCGGAGGACAAAGGAAGTAGACGGAGAGATATGATTGCTGGGGAAGCTTCCATCAGGTTGTCGTTGAAGCCAACCAGGTCGTTCCTCATTCAAGAAGGAGACGATGTACAGGTCCGGATCAAGGAAAAAAGCGGGGCCATTCGAATTGCCAGGGTCCTGCGGAACGTGAAGTTCAGGATCAGAAGCCGGGAATCGTACTTGCCACTGGCGTTGAATCTTTCGGCTGACCTCTTCAAGAATTCGATGGAAACGATATTCATGGAGGACGGTGGCAGGGATGTATCTCATATGCTGATACAAGGCCCGGGCCTCGGTTTCGGTCAAGTGCTCATAGAGATGTAAGTTCATATTGACATAGTATGGATTGGCTTGAGAGGCTGGGGCAAGCGCCCGAAAATCCACAATAATGATGACAGAGCGTTGGGTCAGCGTGGGGCCGTGAGAAGGTCGACGAGAACTCATCATACGTGTAGAATCTGCCCCGAAGAAACTTCCATGAGTGAGCCCGGCCACATTGATAGTCGGTGGGGGTCGGGCAGGCGAGCGTGAACGAGGTCGGTGCGTCATGGTGCTGAGCCAACTAGTAAACCAGAAGTCGCAAAGGGTCCAATACGCTCATAAAGGCAAGAGGAAAAAGGAGGAGTATCCCAAGAGCCTAACGATGGAGGAAGGCAATAGAAGGTGATCACAACGGTGTGCTGCACAGTAAATCAAATTTTCCGACACCCGATGCCGCAAAGTCAAAGACTATGCTCAAGTGTTGGAGTTGTGTACTCCCATGCGCATACCGGTGAGGCGCATGACAAAAGGGATAAAAGGATTGGGATGATCAACAGAATTGTCCACCGAGTACTGGCGAGTTTGCCAGTCTGGGCGAAACGTGGCGAGGAGTTCGATACAAGAACCTACTGTGGGAGAATTAACTCTTGATTTAAGTCCTCCTGAAAGGAACTTTTCAAACCGTCCCGAACCACCCTTCGAGCTGCCAGGACAACCCACCGGAACCTTCCGGGGAACTGCACGGGAACCTGTCCGAAACCTACCGGAACCTTCCTGGGAACTGCACAGGAACCTGCCCGAAACCTACCGGAACCTTCCTGGCAACTGTACGAGAACCTACTGTGGGAGAATTAACTCTTGATTTAAGTCCTCCTGAAAGGAATTTTTCAAACCGTCCCAAACCACCCTTCGAGCTGCCAGCAAAACCCACCGGAACCTTGCCGGGAACTGCACGGGAACCTACCTGTCTGAAACCTACCGGAACCTTGCCGGCCCTGGAGGTTTTCAAAGTAGAACTGAATTTGATGTCGTTGAAGGTGCAGTTCCCATTGTTGCCAAACTCGGTCTGTAAGAGCCTCCATGATGTGAGAAATCGTCCATTGGAACACTGCTCCTGGAGGGGTATATTGGAAATGAAGCCACATTCCATCATCCTCATTGCCATCCAAATGTTCGGCACATCGACAGAGTCGAGCATAGTAGGTGTTCTGTCGACCCAATGTTTCCAAATAAGAAAGGTTCGTCACCACAAGAACCGGCCGGTAAGTGCGTTCAGCCGGGGTCGGAAGGGTGTCTGGTGATCCCATAAGCACTGAACGACAGAACAGGTCGTGGGTTATTCATAGCAAATTGGAAAAATAACTGAGCCAAGGCTAAAATGTGACCAAGCATGCCAACAAGAGTGAAGAGGAAAGTAGACATCCAATAGATCATGAAGCAATAAATGTGCCACGGGTGCCAACTCAAGGACGGTAAGACAACAAACAAACAGACTGAATGAGAATTCATATCACTTTTCTGGTTCAGCAACTGGTGCTCACAGCGGTCTTTAGTCGTCACCAGCATTAGCCGGATTGCGAAGGTCTGGCCGTTGGGTTAAGAAGCCACTTCCAACGAGCTTTGCAGGAATCTGGATCTCGATGGAGTCTTTGCCCACTTGCTTTCCAGCTGGGGCGGGCCCTTTGGTCCGTTTTGTAGCTGACCAATTCATTGTCATCGACAGGAGCCCAGCCGCGGAATCGGTGATCCACCACCTCCGGTGGAGGGCCCGAAGCTTTGGGAGGAGCAGGCACGGACGGAGAGGGAACGGGGTTTGGTGGTCCCGGTGGAAGATGGTCAGGGTCCTCAGAATCGGAAATCAGAGGTCCAGCATCAGGAACGGTGGGATCCGATGGCACAGGGTCAGTGGTAGAGACCGGAAGAGATGCTGGATTGTCCGGTGCAGAACCAGAGCGATGATGAGGAATTGGGGCAGGATGCTCGCATGGTACTGGTGTAGGTAGTGGAGCGGCTGGCTCAAGTGTTCTGGTCACCGAAGCGACGTCGGGATCATCTGCAGGTGGAACGGACCGGAGTGAACCCCGTCGGCGTTTGGTTTCACGAGGATTCAGGGGCGTGGTGGTATCCTCAGTCGGTGGTTCACGAGCGCGGAAGTGACACGAGGTATTATGTGCCAGGAAGTTGGGGCCGACTCAGCCCGTAATTCGCCTCCAGGTGGATGGCGCAAAGGCGGTGGCATGGAGTCGGGGGCCGAAGGAGGTACAGGATCTGTAGCCGAATAGAGGGTCACAGTTGGAATCGAGCAAGTTGCCGGGCGAGACGGTGGTAGTTCAAAAGCTGTGTGTAACGTCACCGCTGCTGGAGGAGGGTCTGGTCGTGATGGCAAAGATGAAGAGGAGCCCATGCCCGAAATGGGAAAGGATTCCCTGCCCTGGACCTTGGGGACAAACCTGGTAAGTTGACCAGAAGGCGTCCTGTGCGAATGACCACCAGAATATTCAGGGTCTGAATCATAGCCCGGATCAAGAGGTGGGTTGAACCATGGCATGTACCCTGCCATGTAGTTGAGATGTAACAAAGCGCGGCCGAAATGATGAGCCATACGATGGCCAGAGTGGGGATCCATAGTGAGCACAAATTAGAAGGATCCTAAATGGAAACGAACACAGGAAAACCGAAGTTTGGGCCAGATCTGTGGTCAGGTGAGTTAATCAAGTATGTCACGAACAGGTGCAACAAAGGGAATTCATTTGGAGTGAGTGTTCCATATGGAAGACCCCCAAGGGTGTGGCAAGTGGGTGCAAGGATTTTCCAAGCATGCAGCCAAAATTTGGGAAGAGATACGATTGAGCTCTTCCAGGTCAAAACCAGCTTGCAAATAGAGAGTGATCAGTTGTTGGAAGTTGTTGGATTCCTTCATGTACTCGATGGAGTGGAAAGGCGCCCTTGGCGACAATCTAGAGCGAAAGCCGCTTAGCAGCACTGCCAGTGGTGAAGCCGACAAAGGAGATAGCACTTGCGACACATTCTTTGGGCCGCAGTAGATGAGCTCAAAAGGTTCCGTGGCCATCATGAAGCCCAAGAACTCCTGGTCCGGTTCAGTCTCCAAAATGATCGGTTTGCCGTAGAATCCGTCGTCCAACAGGGTCTCGTAGGGAGGTAGGTCTTTGATGGCTGGGGATCCGACGATGAGACGGTTGTCAACATAGCGTAAGTGCCGGACGAACAGGTGGTGGTTGTTCAGAATCTCCTTGTAGTTGATGGCCCAGATCTGTTCGCTGATCGAGACCACCATGAGGCAAAGGGCCGGAGATAATGGACTGCCCATGGGGCTGCCACGTTGCTGGCGGATGCATCGACAACCTTAGAGCAAATGTTTGCATTTCAAGGGCTGTCTTAAGGAGGGCAGGAACGTCACCAATTGTGATTTTCCTGGTGACATTAAGACGTCGAAAAGTGCGTCCTTTGATAATGTCACCGGGTTGGTTCGTGGTACCCGGGTACACCGAGAAGGTTTGGTCATCGTTGACGTTCATCTTTGGTCGAAGGAAATCAAGGAGCATGTACCAAGAACCAATAAACCGTGATGGTTCAATGCTGGTGAAAAACCCAGCGAGATCTTGATTAAAAATGCTGAGGGGCTGATGTTCCGGTATTTGTTGGAGGGCTGCCAAGAGTTCATAGACATCGCCCACCGCAAAGTGTTGTGGACATCCAACAGGAACCAGTTGGTAGAGAAGCCTGGCCAAAATGTCGAGCATGGGGCGAAAAGGTGCATCCACAAACGAAACAATGGGTCGTCCACTCTGGTATGCCTTTTTGCCTTTCGACAGAATGTAGCCAGACGGAGCTTGACGTCCTTTTCCGATGGCCCAAGGATAAGAGCGATGGTACTGAGTTGTCAAGGTGTCCACAAGTTGAGAGATCATGGACTCAGGGCCAATGTCACGTGGTGTGAAGACAGTGGGGTCCATGGATGTCTTCTCGATAGCCCCAAAGTACAAACAAGGACAGAAGATCCTCGAGGAGGATGCATGTTTGTCTTCACAATGGAAGATGGCCTCTGGAAAGAGGGAGCGTAGAGCATCAATACTGGACTTGGTAATGTGCATGGTGAGCTGAGCGCGGTGCTGGCTCCAAATATCCTCAAGAAGGGTCAGTAGTTTGTCCTTCGGGAGGGACGGGATCCCATTGATACGTGACCAGCGGGTCATGCCTTGTTGAAACATCCTGGTGAAATCCTTCTAGGATGGAAACACCTTGTTGAGGAGCGATCCTTCACACAACGGGAGAAGGTCGTCCGGGACCAAGGAAGCAAGACGGGATCCAGCTAGGACCCAGTGGGGATTGTCAGGATTGAGACAGGCACGTTTGTACTGCGACCATGTGGAGCAACAGCACTTGGGGTCATTGCCTGTGGACCAATCAGCCATGGCTTGTTTATGATTGCACAAATTGTCCAATACCGAGCCATGTTTGACAAACAAGACTTTGAACGAAGGTTGATGGCATGGAACATGATGAGCAACAACGTCGACAAACCATTGTCGCAAGGAGCGGCTGATGGTTTTCTCCATCTGAGGAGCCAGGCTCCACGGCATCCGGGCCGCTGAGGCTTTGGGAGCCGGTTTTCCCTGCCGCCAACTGATGGTGGCATCCAGGGCTTGAAGCGATAAAGTGCGGTGAGGCTCCTGAATGTTGGACGCTAAGCGTCTCAATGTGTAACAGAGGGTAAGGCCTCCCTCATTGGATCGAAGGAATTTGGTGACCTCAAAACGGGATCGTGTGTTCGACCCCAAATCGTGAATGAGGTTCCAACATCGAAGACGACTCTGGAAGCGGTCAGAAGCCAAAATGGCTTTCACAAGCTGTGGTGTAAAGTTATGGCGGCGTTTGCACCAAAGAGTGGCAAGACCGAATTGTAGATTTGAATTCATCGCTGGCCGTTTGAGAAGGCCTTTGCGAGGATGATAAAACCGGTAAATGAATGGATAGTTCAAACGTGGTTGCCACTCTTGAATGAGGGCAAGTTCCAAACTGCGAAAATCAGGACGACGAACGAAAAGTGGTACAGGGGCCCACGTGTACAAGTTGTCCTGTTCGTGTCAGAATCTGATGGATAACTCTGCCTGCACAAGCCGGTCCTGTCGCAGTTGCAGGAATTTTCGGACTCTGGTATGCTCACGGTCCAAGACCCCATTGCAGGTAGAGCCGATATAAAACTTGGGTTGCAGGTTCACGATGTGAGCGAACCGGATGTATACTGAATTCGGTTGGGAGAATTCCTG